AAGGTGGAACAGGTGTGTTTTTAGTCGTTTCTTGAAGATGGTTAAGGACTCGAGTTGATTTGGGCAGGTCATTCCACCAGGAGGGAACAGTTAATGAAAAAAATATTTTATATAATATAATAATATAATTATTATTTGTATTTTTTTTGCACAGTAAAATAAACCCATGCATTTTTGCATGGTAAAATAAACTGAAATAATAATAAAGTTAAATACCTTAATCAAGTTAGTGTTTCCTTCTTACCAATATATTTTAATTGTTTAGGGTCATTAAAAGCAAATATTGAGAAATATCATCTCCAGACATGAATTACTGCATCTGTCGAGTGCTTGAATAGACAAAACTAAATTGTGAAAATAACTAAAATGTCCATCTCTAATGCAAATAAATTACATTTTAAACTAACTGGCTTCACTTCTTCATACCATTTTTTGCCTTTATATCTTCATACAGCTCCAGTTTGCTGAGCATTTCCTCCCTCTCCTCTTGCAATTCAGTAATGCGACTATGTAGGGATGTGACATCAGGGGACATATCGAGACATACACCAGACTGAAGTCAAAAACAGAAAGCAGTTAATTTAATTTAGCTGGATATTCATCTGTGCAAATCTAATGCGAAAAATAATATACATTCTTACCTGAACTTTTCTGAGTTCCTCCTCGAACTGCCTGATCCGAGATTTGGACCATGCTTTCAATTTTAAGAACTTTGCTTCTGCTTTACTGGCCTCTGCTTCTTTCAGCTTCACTTGGGCTGAATTGGACAGGACAAAACAGACAGAAATATTAAAACAAAGCCACTGAGAAGAAGGACACTGAGAGTTTAAAAAATGCAATGACAGGATACAGAGTATCTTTAACAGAAAATAATAAACACCCTCCTAATATCATGCAGGCACATTAGGAGAAGGTGTCTGTTACATCTGTAAAACATGACATATGTAAGTGCTTCAAAGATTTACAATAGACTTCGAGACATCGAGAACTAGGCTCTACAAGGCATGAAATGATCAATGAGATGATCCACAACACAATGTAGTGCAAATTAAAAAAAATGTTGTATGTTTGTTGAAACATACAAATATCTTCAAGCTTTGAATGTCTGAAAACAAAAAATAGAATGGGCCCACAAAATAAAGTTAGAAAAGTAACTATCCATGTAAAGGCAGGAAAGAGGACCTCAAGAGCCAGGGTTGAGAACCGTTTAAGATAATATACAAACCTCATATATATTCTTCAATCTAAATGTCAGTCTTGGTGTAATACACTATTCCCCCCCCCTTCGAATACAAGACTAAGTGCAATACACTCTTACTGTGCAATATAACTCTTTATTTTCTTATGTTGAATGTAAGTCTTAGTGCAATTCAACTATTTAGTGTTTTGTTGTATGTTTACTATGTGATATATGTAAATGATGTTGAATGGAAGCTATTCTAATTTCATTGTACGTGTGTATAATGACAATATAAGGCATTCATTCATTTATTAATACCTTATGGCATAAGTAGGCAGGAGACCATGATTTGGAAAAATACTTTCTTGGATGTAGGTAAGCTACATAATGATCTGCAAGTTTCAACAGTAAGAACGTCTGAAGGCTTTAGTCCTTTACAAAGCTATGGTAATAGCCAGAAAATACTAGAAGGGATTAAAGTTCCTTCAGATGTTCTGGGCAACATTTTGAGGGCACAAACCTTTTCAGGATTGTTTTCAACTCCATGTTTCGACACAATGTGTCCAAAATAGTGTACAATTCATGAAACAAGTTCAGTTCACCCACAGAGGAACATTAAACCCTTCAAGCCATAATGTTTTGAAACTATTTTACTTCACAGACTTATGCCTGGCATACAGCTTGTCTTGATTTTTTTTTCTGTTTTCTCCCCGCTGGGAGAAATCGTGTCAATCGTTAATGGTCGCAGCTCGCATTGTGTGAGAGACATTATGAGTCAAGCCAAGCACCTTACAAGCACCTCTCGAGTTCCCAAAATTTTTTTAAAATGTTGAAAATATTTTGGGAGTCAGCCTGAGCAACGCATAGTCTCCCCAATTCCCAAATCATACACAACCACATCACATAGGCTACCAGCAACAGCATGTGCAACACACACACACACACACAAATGCATACAGTTGTGCTGTTTACCAAATCCTTCAAGCCATAATGCTTTGAAACAATTTTACTTCACAGACTTATGCCTGGCGTACAGCTTGTGTTGATTTTTTTTTTCTGTTTTCTCCCCGCTGGGAGAAATCGTGTCAATCGTTAATGGTCGCAGCTCGCATTGTGTGAGAGACATTATGAGTCAAGCCAAGCACCTTACAAGCACCTCTCGAGTTCCCAAAATTTTTTTAAAATGTTGAAAATATTTTGGGAGTCAGCCTGAGCAACGCATAGTCTCCCCAATTCCCAAATCATACACAACCACATCACATAGGCTACCAGCAACAGCATGTGCAACACACACACACACACACAAATGCATACAGTTGTGCTGTTTACCAAATGCTTTGACACTACTATCAGGTTAACTGACTCGTAACGTATGCAAGGGCTCAAGACTACCCTAGTCTCCCAACCTGTATAGTGTATGCTCGGCTTAACTTGGACAGGCTTGCCATCTTGAGTTCAATTAACCATGTGGAAGTGCATATTGTGCAACAGAATTTTGTAATCAGTATCAACCACTTTTTGATACAATGCACTTATTGTCTACAAACATGTTTTTACATTGTACTTCTATTTGAAAATACCATCCTGTAATTACATGTATAATTAATTTCTGTAGTTACGTCTATAATTACACTATTAACACTACCTCTACCTCTTAAACCTAACCATACCACCACACTTGCCCCTAACCTAACATTGTACCTAACAATTCATTATATTATTAACTACACAGAATTTTAAGACACGTAATATAAAGTGGGACCTTTTTTTTTTTTTTTTTTGGAACATACTGTTTGATAAAATCATAAATAAACTTTATGGGAATATAAATGATACAGATTTAATGCTCTGTAACAGATTAAAGCTACATGAAACTGTAAATTAAATTAATTAATTTGGACAATATACTGGGAGCAGAGTGAAATGCGGACTTCTTTTCCAAACCTTATTTTACAATGTGGTATTTTTGAAGTACTCGTGCCCATTCCTAAATGGAGACGGTAGACACTGCTACATTCAGTGATCCATTAAGAAAAAGTTTATAGATCTTTAGACAAAATTTTTAAATTCCAAGTTACTGTGACAGGTGCTTAACCAACACTGAGTTCATTTGAGAAAGGAAGGTCAGACTGCAGACAATATTCTCTAAGCATGTGACATGATTGTCTACCTTGCAACTCTGTGACTCTCTGCACTGTAATGCAGGTGGATAGGTTTGCTGATGCATCTGCGGGCTGTGATATAGAGCGCTGAAGAGTCTCAAGCTGTCTGCGTAAGGCTTGCTCCTTCTCTGACAACTCAGACTCGTGTTTATCAGCAGCCCTGAGAAGCTCTGCCTCATGTTTCTCCATCAGATCCTTGATCCGAGCCCGAGTAATGTGACGTTCTGCCTCCAGCTTTGACTGAAAGTTTTCTCTCTCACCCCGCAAGTGCTGCATTTGTTCTGTCAGCTCCTACCAAACAAACACACACAACTCGCATTACAAATCAACTCTGAGAACTGTAAGCAACAGGGACTGACTACATATTATAACTTTTTTTAAATTGTTTCTTTCTGTTCCAATGTTGTTTTTGTTTTCTCAACTCGTAAATCTTTATTTAAATATTAATATAAATAATAAAAATATGTTGTGTGAAGCAGTTTAATAAGAGCAATACCAAAAAAATTCAATTTTTATGATTAGCTTTGTAATAACAACACTTGTTAAATCTGTGCAAATCAATGGTCTAGTGCAGTGATCCTCAAATCTGGCTCGCGAGATCCACTTTCCTGCAGAGTTTAGCTCCAACCCTATAATCAAACAAACCTACCTGTGATTTTCTAATGATCCTGAAGACATTGATTAGCAAACTCAGGTGTGTTTGATTAGGGTAGAGCTAAACTCTGCAGGAAAGTGGATCTCGCGAGCCAGATTTGAGGATCACTGGTCTAGTGTAAAACTGCATTGGTAAATGGTCGAAATTGTATTTATTTGGTTTTATGTACGTTAAGAGGACATAATTTTTATGCAGTGCCACATCATGTGTCACATGACATCTGATCCCTGCACAAAGCACAATGAGCAATACTGTCAGCATCCAGAAGGCAGACTTGTAAAAGTGCAATATAAGTTAAACAATAAAAGTCCAAGAACACGGAAAAGAAATAGAGATTACAGAAAAGTTTGGAAGTAAGCCAAGTTTAATTGCATTTACTCTCAAAGATAAATGTGTTGTGATATATCCTGCTATGCACTGAGCAGGACAAAGCCTCTCTTTCTAGTCTAATGTCGTCTCCCCATATTCAAAAGCAACTGAGAATAGTAAAAGATCGGAAAAGTGAATTTTATGTTCTGCACAATCACAACATTATGGCGTGCACTGTGCAGTGAAAATAAACTTGATGTGCCTTACCTTACATAAGTACACACAGTTGTAAAATTGAATGTGAGGACAAGACAAGACTATCTGTATGAATGCACTGTATGGCCAGTAATAGGGATGCACCGATACCACTTTTTCCAGTACTCGCCCGATACCGATACTTTTATTTTTGGTACTTGCCGATACCGAGTACCGATACCAATATTTTCATTGCATTTGTAAATTTTTTAAATATTGGGTACAGAAACCAAAAGAGTATGTATAATGTTAGTTGGTTAACTTCATTTATCAAATAGATACAGTCAAACCAAAATTTATTCAGACACCTTCAACATTTCTCACATTATCACAGTTTATTCGCTATCGTTTAGAAAATGGTAATAAAATATGACAAGAACTCAGAGTTAAACTGTGTCAGAACAAATTCAGCTTGATAATGTCAGATAACTTTGATAGAAAAGTATGTAATGGATTATAATCAACCAAAAATCAGACAGCTGTTAGTATGACAGTATTTACACAACTATCAATACTTAGTCGGGCAACCCTTAGCCTCAATGACAGCCTGTAGTCTCCTGGGCATGCTGTCAACCAGGTTCATGCAAAATCCCTAGCCAGTAATATTTCATTTGCAAACAAATGTGATTGAGAATTTGGGAAGAGAAACAAGAAATTTCCAACCCCAAAAACTCATAATGACTTTTTTTAAATGAGAAATTAAATACATGTTTATCATAAAAGTGATGTAATAAAGTCATTGTATATTTGAATAGCATTTTAACGCATTTTTAATCAACTAAATTTAAAAAGCGTCATGTCATTGACCATTTGAGCATATTTGTAAACTATAAATTACCATGACTTGGTTATCTTTACTGCTGAGTGCTGCATCCTTTTCCCTGATCAACTCTTTTAAATGGGCCACAAGTTCCTCCATCTGTGTTAGCCGCTCAGTGACCTCAGCAAATCTTATATCACTGCCCGTGTCCACCTGCGGGGAGCCAGGAGCCTGAGACAGGCAAAGAATCTATTAATGATGATGAACATTTATGCAATGCACAGTGTAAAGGGGTGAGGGTTCTGAAGGGTTTTATTTTCCTATAATCGATGTGACTTGCTTATTAAACAGTTGCTCATGAAATCAATATGCTGACATAACATATTTGCAAGTATGTAAAATTAAGACACTCCTCACTCCTAGACATTCCCCACACTAAATATTTAAGGCTGATTTCTAATCATATACATCACAGAATACAATCTTCATTATGAGATATTCAAGCAAAAGCATGAGTGATACTTACTCCATGCACAGAGCTGGACTCATCTGCTGAAAACCACCTCAGCATTGTTTACACAACCTATGGCCTAAGACAGGATGTCTTAAATAAAGTAAAGCAAGACTACACTCAAGTCATCCTACTGGAGGGTTCTTCAAGTCTGGTCCTGGAGGTTCACTGCCCTGTATTAAAACGGTAATATGTGTAAATGCTTATATTTTAAATAAATAAAAGTGTTTATATTTTAAACAAGCATTATAATTCAATTATACAGAGCATTACACAGGGGCATTATTTGTGTCATCTGATTCAAAGATTTCTGTATTCAGTCAGCAGAGAAGGATTATAAATGAATATCTAAACAAACAACGTTAACCGTCATCAATGATCACAATCTAGTCAAACACAGAAGAAGAAAAAACTTTATTGACGGAACTATTCGCACATCATATGGTGGCAGAAATCTAATCCTAATCGCTTAAAACTGAAAGCGTGACGTGCAACTAATAAGAATATTTAAAAATGAAATGTCGTTAGCATAATCTTACCTGCCTCCAATAACATGGACTTCTATCGCTTCACATTTCCAGTACAGTGCATTTTCAAGACGAAATGTTCACTCGTTACTTGTTTAACATGACAAATGCACATATATGTTGTATTGAACAGTAGCGAACCTATAACCTTATTGTCTATTAGATTTATCACTCATATCTTGTTAATGCGCAAGGTTCTTCTTCTTGTTTAATGGCCGTTCGCTGCTTTGGAGCATTACCGCCACCTACTGTACATTGCCACAATGACGTTTATGTCCGTTTGCATGTTTTGCCTTTCTGGTCTCATTAAAAAATAATAGTAAAAGTTGTTCACACAGTGCGAACCAGATGAAATATAAGACAGTGTTAAACATGAGCTCATATTCAGCATGCTGAACCATGGAGAGGAAGTGTGTTTTAGAGTTTATGAGTCTTTCCTCCAATAAATATTTTCATAAATATTGTAAAACACATCTGTATTTTTTCAGTTATTTTTATTTTGGTAATACAAATATTGGACTTTTCAACTCAAGATTCAAGTGGCTTTATTGGCACAACAACAACAAAAATGTTAAATGTTATTCAGTGTCGGCGTTATGTAGTGTTAGTGGTCCTTTGTTTCCAGACAGACTGTTAAAGAACAGGACACACACGTCTCCAGGAAATCCTGTAGAATTCAACCAATCAGATGTTGACTTTGAAACTCCTGAAGTGTTTCTCATTTTGTGTGTCTTATCTGATATTATCCTGAAACTACACACCCTTAGGATGCAATTGAATAAAAATGAGGAAGCAGGAATCCAAGGAAAAAACTTTTCATTTTTGCATATTTGAATATTCTTGATTACCTAAGCATCTTTTCAAAGGGTCATCAGCTGTGCTCTATGGATTTGCCCTTATGTTGTTGAAGTTTGGTTAAGAAATTCATAATAAAATGAATAAAGCAAGATGCCCTGTTGAAATTTGCTAAATTTATGGCCTAGTTGATCAGTGGATGCCGACTACATGCACCATCATTCGTGACCTGACTGGGTATATCTGCTGTTTTACTCCAGGTTGTAGAATGCATTTTTTTTACGCAAATCATATCAACCAGCGCTGGCCACATACCACATACTCTATCCATTTGTTGCATTATTCTTTGTAAGGTTCTACAAGATGCACAAACTGATGAGTGTGGTTCATTTCTCTTCTTTGGAGTGTAAAAAAGTTCTTGATCACAGTGAAGGTGTTCTAAAACATGGTGGTGGAGGCCCCAAATGTGACATATTTTTCATGTTACGTGGAAAATACTGGGCATGGCTTCAAGTATTTTGTGTTGTTAATAAAGTAGTTTCCCAGTATTCATCTTCAGATGACTTTCCTCCATCTTGATTCTAGAGTTATATATCACTTTGCAATGATGCACTCCCATTTCCACAATGGTATAATTTGTTAAATCTATGATGGGCTTTATAGACATATTTAAAAAAAGGTCTCACTTTCAGCAAATGCTGTGGCCAACTTTGAACCTTCACTGAAACAATTTTCAATTTCTCCAAAAGCATGGTCCAAAGAACTGAAGTATAGTCTGCATTATGCCTGCAGGTGCATAGCTTCATCTTATTATTGACACTAAGGTATTTATTTATCTGTTGGGTAAGGGTCAACTCAGAATTCTTCTTCACTGTCATGATTGTCCACACAATTGACAGCTGAAGATACAATTTAATTCCAGTTAAAGGGTTTGTATTCTCTCCTTGCAGCATGTTGTTAACAGGATTGAGCAACATAAAAACACAGTATAAAGCATTGTAATTATAGTTTGCATTAATTCAAAGTTTTCTGTCATTTCGGAATAGTAATACATTGAAGGATAATCAAAATGTTGTTTGCAATTTTGACAGATTAAAAAAATAAAAATAATAAAACTGCAAACTGAATTCATGTTATGTGGCTGCTCTCCCTAGTTTAACTCTTGACGGTAAATGCACATACACATCTATTTTCGATCGCAGAACCACTGTTTCAGGCAGTGTATGTAAGGTAGGCCTGGTCATCTTTTTCTTGCAAAAATCACTGAACTCCAATATATTAGCCTGCCATCACTGTGGCTCCATCATATACTTGACTCAGAATCTTAGATGTATTCAAACCTGACTTGGTTAGCTCTGAAAGTATGATTTTTTGATGGTTTGTGCATCACTGGAATTTGGGCTGACCGTCACAATCATTTGCTCTGTGATTTTCAGTGTTTTTTCTTATTCAAGTAGCAAAGTATAATGATGTTTTCAGTTCCAGCTGGGTCTCTGGTTCCAACTACAAGTACATATACATAATATCTCTCAACAAAGCAGAGAATAAACAAATTGCATGAACACAATACAACTTAATGAAAGCCCCCAACATGCTGATCTGCTAAGACATATGTACTGCTGTTGCTTCAGGAGGACTATGTAAAATGCATGTTTGCCTGGGCCAACTTGGCTGAATATAATACTAGTGAACTATTGCTGTGTGTACCTGGTTGTTTGGTATGATATCTTAAAAATCCAGTGGACTGACACTGAATTTGTATCTGGGCCAGCAAGGAGTTTATTTAACTAGTGAGTGACCTAAGTGTACTTGGGCTAGCATACTCCTATGATTTATTCAATGACCTAATGACCCATTTAGAACATACAGCTAGAACAGGGAGGGTTTAAAGAATAGTGAAAGCACATAAGAATATTTTTTTTTTTCAACAAGATGCAGTTGTTGATGGGAGAAAAAGATTGCGTCAAAGATTACCCCAAGATTTCTGACTAAACTTGATAGGATTATTGTTGATAAATCTAGCTGGATGGTGAAATAGTGCTGTACAGTAGGAGTGGCAGGGAAGATGAGAAGATCTGTCTTTGTTAGGTTGAACAGTAGGTGATGTACTTTGATCCATGCCAAGATACCCATCAGGCAGTCTGAGATGCATGCATTGGGTCATCTGGTTGAAATGAAAATTAGACCTGTGTGTCATCAGCACAGCAATGATAGGAGAAACTATGTGAATGAATAATGGGTCCCAATGATGTAATGTATATGGAGAAGAGAAGGGGTCCAAGAAGTCATAGATCCTCTTCTGAACAGGGCCGTGCACAGACCTTTTGAGGGGCATGTGCTGAAACTTGAATATTATTAATTCGTCGTTGTCATTAGGATATGTCCCAAAAACTTCAAACTGGCTGTTAAGCCTCTCATTAAAAAATCACAACTTGATCCTGGATAATTAGTTAATTACAGACCCATCTCAAATCTCCCTTTTCTGTCAAATATACTACAAAAGGTAGTCTCCTCACAACTATGTTCTTTCTTAGAGAAAAATGGTATCTGTGAGGATTTCCAGTCAGGATTTAGACCATATCATAGTACAGAGACTGCTCTCATCAGAGATACAAATGACCTGCTCTTGTCATCCGATCGTGGTTGTATCTCTCTCTATTAGTGCTACTGGATCTTAACGCTGAGTTCGTCATTATCGATCACAACATACTTTTGAATAGACTAGAAAATTATGTTGGCATTAGTGGAATTGCTGCTCTTATCATCTGATCGTGGTTGTATCTCTTTATTAGTGCTACTGGATCTTAGCGATGCATTTGACACCATCAACTACAACATTCTTTTGAATAGACTAGAAAATTATGTTGGCATTAGTGGAATTGCATTAGCATGGTTCAAATCATACTAATCTGACCATCATCAGTTAGTAGCAGTGAATGAAGAGGTATTATATCATTTACAAGTACAGTATGGAGTACCACAAGGCTTAGTTCCAGGACCATTGCTTTTCACGCTTTACATGATACCCTTGGGAGATATCATCAGGAAACATGGTGTTAGCTTTCCCTGCTATGCTGATGACACTGAGCTCTATATTTCTTCGCGGCCATACCAGTAGAAGAAACATACCAATTTGCAAAACTAACAGAATGCATAGCTGATATCAAAAACTGGATAATGAGTCATTTCCTACTGCTAAATTCTGAAAAAAAAAAGAGGTGTTAATTATCTGACCAAAAACCTCTGCATGTAATAATCTAGAACACTGTCTAACACTCGAAGGCTGTGCTGTCAATTCTTCGTCATCAGTTAGGAACCTAGGTGTGCTATTTGATAGCAATCTTTCCTTTGAAAGTCATATTTCTAGCATTTGTAAAACCACATTTTTCCATCCTAAAAATATATCTAAATTACGACCTATGCTCTCAATGTCAAATGCAGAAATGTTAATCAATGCGTTTATGACCTCAAGGTTAGATTATGTATCTGTGAGGATTTCCAGTCAGGATTTAGACCATATCATAGTACAGAGACTGCTCTCATCAGAGATACAAATGACCTGCTCTTGTCATCCGATCGTGGTTGTATCTCTCTCTATTAGTGCTACTGGATCTTAACGCTGAGTTCGTCATTATCGATCACAACATACTTTTGAATAGACTAGAAAATTATGTTGGCATTAGTGGAATTGCTGCTCTTATCATCTGATCGTGGTTGTATCTCTTTATTAGTGCTACTGGATCTTAGCGATGCATTTGACACCATCAACTACAACATTCTTTTGAATAGACTAGAAAATTATGTTGGCATTAGTGGAATTGCATTAGCATGGTTCAAATCATACTAATCTGACCATCATCAGTTAGTAGCAGTGAATGAAGAGGTATTATATCATTTACAAGTACAGTATGGAGTACCACAAGGCTTAGTTCCAGGACCATTGCTTTTCACGCTTTACATGATACCCTTGGGAGATATCATCAGGAAACATGGTGTTAGCTTTCCCTGCTATGCTGATGACACTGAGCTCTATATTTCTTCGCGGCCATACCAGTAGAAGAAACATACCAATTTGCAAAACTAACAGAATGCATAGCTGATATCAAAAACTGGATAATGAGTCATTTCCTACTGCTAAATTCTGAAAAAAAAAAGAGGTGTTAATTATCTGACCAAAAACCTCTGCATGTAATAATCTAGAACACTGTCTAACACTCGAAGGCTGTGCTGTCAATTCTTCGTCATCAGTTAGGAACCTAGGTGTGCTATTTGATAGCAATCTTTCCTTTGAAAGTCATATTTCTAGCATTTGTAAAACCACATTTTTCCATCCTAAAAATATATCTAAATTACGACCTATGCTCTCAATGTCAAATGCAGAAATGTTAAT